ACAACTATCAAAAAAGCTGAACAAATCAAGACAGCTTTTTATTATATCTGGTGTAAATAGTTTACAATAATATCTAATCAGAAGCTTGATAACACATCATTTTTTGTTTTAGCATAAAAGCTATAAAATTTCATAAACTTTAATAAACTTTGTAAGCTGTATGTAGTTGAACAGTTACTGCAAGAAGCAAACTTCCAGTTAACAAAAGCAAACATTACATATTAGTTGTAACAAAATCTTTCTGCTTGAAAATATTAACAATTCTGCATAGATTATACCATAAAGTATTAATTAATTGAACATAAAATATTTAGAAAAGACTACTGTACTCCTATTTACTGTAATCAAAAGAAAAATGCATCCATTTGCAAAATATACTAAATATATGTATATGTATTCCACAATGTCAGTCATGAGCTTAACATAATGACCATCACGAAACTAATACGTGCATGTCAATTAAATATTCAAGTGAATTATGGCCTAATATACGTGCAACATATTACTAGTGTATAATTCCTATGGTCATTTGTACTTACTTACATGTTTACAGACATTAGTTCTAGATCACCAAGACAGCTTTTAGCCATGACGATTCCTAGTTCACAATAATGTGTACTACAGTATAAATTTAAGTACTACTTACCCACAATACTTCTACTCCAAAACTAATGTAAGCACTTAGCTTGATCACATAATGAAGAAAATCTCCAGCATAACAAGATCACTTTGTTCACAATCAGCTTGTAGTGTATAAAGTAGTAAGTTATTTTGAAGGAGTATTCATTATATTGTTGATCCAAATTTTTAATAGACTAGCTTTCTGGTCAAAGTAAACAGTGTGTCAGAAAGGGAATTGCCAACATCATTATCTGGTCACTTTTACTTGGAAATATGGCCTTCTTCTATAAATTCACAATGTAGCAAATTTGTTAACTGTGGATATGAACATGATAAACTGTTGAACAAAGGGAAATTAGTTTAGGCCCTTTTATACTTCAAAAACTATTCTGACCCCTGCTACAAAAATTAGTTAAGTATTGATGAAGAATTATTGTAAGTCACAATTTGCCTATATTTATAAAGGTCTATGTTTGCAAATGAAGTTGAAAGGTGTAAATAGATTTTTCATATAATATTTTCACTCACAACTTCTAAATGTTTGTTTTTACATGCTTCTAACTCTTAACATGTGAAACATATTATTAGAAAATTTTGTACTGAAAAGTTGAAATCTATAAGATGTTTAGTTATGATATTATGGTCAATCAGAAAAATGGGTAACAATTCTGATACGGTGTCAATACAACTTAGCTATATGTTTTTGGTACCTTGAAACAAAGTGTCACCAAAAACACTGTACCAAATTTTGACTTTACAGAAAGTTAGGCAACTCAAGAGTGTTAAATGGATCTTGCTAAAACAAGCTCTTTGGATTTCAGCAATGGTTCCTAAATGCCATCGTGGCATAGGAGGGATTTGATTTTTAATACTATTACACTACAAAGTTTGACTACTGGATTAGCTGTTAACTTGTTTACATAGACAGCAGTATGTCTACAGTGACCAGAAATTACATTTATTATTATACAAATAGACAGAAACATAAAAAGATCTTTATGTTTATTGCATAAATTAAACAAGAAATTATAATTAACAATTTTATATATATATTCTATGTGCATTTTACATTTCACCTTGTTTTAATGATGCAAAATCAATAGAATAACAAATGTCATTTGACTAACAATCTAAGCCCTGAGAACAGACATGGGTATTTTTACAATGTACATGTGAACAAGGCCTGTTTCAACTGCACATCAGCACTTGAAAATACTATACACTTATGCATGATCATTTATATATAACATTCACTCATACATAAATATAGTATGTATATACAATTAATATATTTTAATGTGTTAATTAAATACATGATTCTGTTGTTTCAAGTTTTTCTTAAATATAAAATAAAAATTCAAAAATTATATTTATATTTTTCATTGTATCAGAGGCTCAACTCAAGATCCTTGTACAGTATTGTGTGTTGTTCTGGTCCCCTTACTTCAAGAAATAAATAAGGATATCACATATTGAAAAGGGTTAAACAGAGTTTGGCAATTAAATCATTAATCAAAATAATCAATTACCTATGAGCATCAATTAACATCATATAAAATAATTATTACTTGAAATTACAATTCATTTGATTGATGTCACATAAATAATCAACTAATTAAAATTAGTGTTTCTGATTATCACTGCTTTCATATAACTCAGCTTTGTTCAGCTTAATTATTGTCCAAACTCAATAAAATAATCATCTAATCAAAATTGGTGTTACATCTATATGTATTTTCAATTATTCTAACTATAGAAGTCTCATGTAAGGATTGATTACTCTATTTATCAAAGTTCCGCTAACCACCCAGTTTCAGAGACAAAGTACTTGTATGGTACATGGTTTGCCATTTATCTATAAGGAGAGCCTTAAAGTTTGGACTTATTTTTTCCCAGAGATCAGGTTCCCAAACTACAGTTGAGGTAGATATAAAATTATTCCCTCCCAGATGACAAATATGTTTAATCTATTTTCTTTTATTCCTTCAAAAAATGTTGTTTGCAGTGAGAGCACATTATTCCATTTGTAAAGATTCATTAAGTTCGGGTTGGTAGTCAGGATTAATAATGTCATGTGAATCTTGAGCAAAGAAAACTTGAGAATCTTTTGCCCTAGAGCAAAAATGAGAAGTCACTGGGCTTAGGACTCAAAACTTTAAAAATGTGGATATTCTTCTTATGAGAGGTCTTTGAATATGGTGGAATGAAGAAATACAAACACAAACAACCTTGAATATTGGAAGATATAGATTTGGAAGGCTAAATGTAGGCTGCTTAACATAATTTTACTTTTGAATGGGTTACAAGGTTGTAGAATGGCTTGCCTGATGACATGGCACATTTATGAGCAGTTGGTTTGTATTTTTTCAAAATTTTGTTTAATAAATATATAGATGTTTATGTTCAATGAAATATTAAATTTTTTTTCTGTGGATGAAAGGTGATCTAAACAGGCCAAGTGGGCTTCTGTCATCTTGTTTTTTCTTATGTTCTTATTTAATGAGAAGATGACTGCTAAACAAAACAAACACAATGCTTTTTTTGTATTCTTGATACACACTTCATTCGTTAAGCGAAGAAGTGCAAGATTAACTCAGGATGTTCTATGATAATGTGTATATGTAAAGCAATGCAAGTTTGACAACTTTAGCCTTCATATCCTTTGTGAGCCAACATGATTTTCTTCACTTGCAGCCGCCCTTTTTGTCTGTAAGGAACATGCCTATTTTGAATACTTAATAATTTACTTTAAAAAGTTTTCCACATTTGATCACTATCTCCAATTAATTCAATTGCCCAATTTACAGTATATAAGGACAAAAACAAGTAAGTGTTAAATACGAGTTTCAAAAACTTTTCAGTTAGTAATCAAATTAAATTCTATAGAAAAGAACTTGAAAATCTAAACTCATTTTTCAGGATTTTCACCACTTTCTAAACATTACTTGTAAGCTACTTTTGTACCTTGTTCCCACACTATACCACTCTCTACATCATATTTTTTCTTCATTATTCTGGTCCTTACAGTTAATAACCTTTGCAAACAAGTAAGCCCCTACCCTATTT